GGAAGTTCAATTAGTGCTTTTTATTCCAATGTGGACATTTCAAAATTGTAAAATAGCCTGATTTCTATCACAATCTACCCAATACTCTTTAAGATCACCATGCTAAGCCTTGAACTCGGCACTCAAGCAAGCCAATCTCTGCCTTAAAGAATCAGGTTATTTTGCCTGTTAATACATGGTTTTTAGGGGGAAAAAAAGGCAGAGACATTCAGAGAAAAGTTTACATACTCCTAGGCAGCTTAACTAATATACCCAAATATTTCACCATTGTTTGTAGTCTCATGTTCAAATAGGAAAAGAAGTCTTAACTCAGACATGTAATCCAGGCCTTTCTGCCACCATCCCAGCAATGTGCCCCCAATCCGCTGCAAAACACCAATTCTAACTCACTAAGTGTACTTGGAAGTTATTCAGTTGAGATTATTTCATACAAAAAAACCCTTCAGATCCAAAAACCATTCTGAACATTGCTTCCAGGAGAGTGGATTTGAAGAAGTATCCATGGGTATATGGAAAGCAATAAGATTTTAAGCTACACTTACAAGAAGTTGAGCACATGACATGGTAAGGCTCATCCTGCTAAAAATCCTGGACAAGGCCACGGGGGTGGTGGTACTGAGCTACCTTATTATGCAGAAGGTGCATTGTCATAACCAGCTAATATTTTTCCCAAACTAACAGACAAATGGACCTGGATATTTGTTTTACTTTGATAAATATTCTGATGCATTTGGGAATCAACTGCTGAGTATATTGCCCTTTACATGAAAATTCCTGTAAACTCAGTTCGAATGCGGAGCTATAAACAAGGTTTCATTCTACTCTGCCTAGAAAACTAAATAGTCCAGTATGTATGCAATATATCATCTAACTCCATAGCCTGCATCAGCGTGGCATGCTTTACATGGCTTTCTTCACATTAACCAAAGCAGGAGGGTATAAGCTTGAGATTGATGGCCAAGCTATGGAGAACAGAACATTCCTCAAAACATTTCTATTATAGATGAAAGTCAGCACGCTTTCTCCATGTTAAGCACAGTGGGAATTTCGGAGAGGTCCATCACAAGAATCAGTATATACGCATTAAAGCTTTTCTGTCCAGATTCAGGTCATTTCTTCCATTAAACATGAACTTCCAGTTCAAAGACTCAGATGCTCGGAGTGAGCCTTGGCAATGCCAGATAAGCATGATAGAAGTAGGGTACAGTATGGATTAGGATCAAAAGAACAAACAGAATTTGAACTAATCTTCTGCTTCACTATGAGGGTATTTTAAGTTTAAGAGATATGGGTTCATTCCTTGAACGTCTTGCCAAAAACGAGTGTTGCCCAGCAACTACTAAAACAATGTTCGGGGAAGGAGGCGGCTGCCGGACAAGTTAACCCAGTAAATGCCCTTCCCTCTGTGCTTCACGGGGCTATTGCAAACCTTCTGCATCACCGGCAGGCAAATCCGCAAGTTCCCAAGAAAGAAACATGAGGAGATTCCCGAGGAGACTCTCAGACAGACTGTTTTGGTGCAGTACCAGCTCCCTGCATTGAGCAAACATTTGGCTTAACACTTATACGTTCCAATACAAAATGAATGCAAATAAAACCTCTACAAAAGCACATACAAACTAATAGAGCAGGGAACCAGCACCACACGCACAAAATCAGCAGCCCTGGATTCTGCTTTAAATTTGCCACTATTGCCTTGTTTATTTGCAAGAACTAACTTTTTCTGTGCATATAAGTACAAAGCATTTCTATCGAAACACTGGTGCTTTTAGCCTAGCTAGTTCAGTTGCAGTTCATACTTTCCACATAAATCCATGCATATTAAAAGGATGTTCATTTATAGCCACTATTCAGATGCATACCCACAGTCACAAACAATTATAGCAGCAAATCCAGCTTTATAAACTAAGTAAAATTTCTTTCTTGCTCAAAACAAGACAGATAGAAAACCAAGGAATTGACTCAGTCTTTTTTTGGAGACCTGCACAACTAGGACTTTTCCTGGAATCTCATGTGTATATTCAGACAAGATAGGTAAAGTGTTTGACAAGAGTTTTTATATTAACACTTCTAAAAGGAAATACCCAAATGAACCTCCTCCTAAGTCTTAAAATGTTGTTTCCCCCCCGCCCCGAAAACAGTTTGAGAGGCTTTTGACTTATCCGAAGCTGGAAATTCTTTTAAGTGCCAGAACAACTTACTGTACATGAAAAAATAAATATCATGGTTAAAGTTGGACCTAAAGCCAGAGGTAGAGATGAGTGCTCAAGTCTCACAGCCCATCATCACCAGCCTCCCCCAAACAAGTTTCAACTGTTACACAGTGCTGCTGGGGAATGAGAAAGGAAGGGAGAAGGATCAGCTTTCACACCTGCAAGCGATTATCCTAGAATTTTAAGGAACTAAAGCTACAACAATGAATACTATGCAAGATGACAACTGAAAAACACACTCAGAGGAACTTGGAGTCACAGAACTAACATCTTTCTTCAGAGTTCAGGGAAATATAAGTACCTTCCAACTCAGGCTTCTTTTTTACTTTTTTTTTTAAAACATGTTTCATACTTACCCCCACTCCAAACTTTACCTGATCCTCACCCCATCTTCCCTATCCCATCTCCTCTTGCATTTCCTCCTCTCAATGCTCCACAGGACTAACCCAGACTAATTTTGACAATTTTCCCAACGAAACCAGCCCTTATGCCCTCCAGACTCCTTTGCAGACTGTCCTGTGGCAAAGGAAAGCTCAGCCCTCCCCATCCCCAACTGTAGGATGATGGTCATGTACCACATCCCCTCCAACTCGCATCACCCAGCCCCGCATCAAGATTCCCTCGCTGTCTTTTCCCACAGGTTTTACAAGTTGGGGCTTCAAGGAGCAGCTTGCTAGCACAGCACTCCTCAGGCAGGCTCTACCTTCACCCTACAAGCATTTTACCAGAGTTTTGTGCTGGCAGGTGCTCACTGACAAGGCAGCACCATCAGCTCCCTCAGATCATTCCTCCACACAGGAGACACCCTCTCTGCGGGAAGGACAGTGCACGCACAGCAGCGCTCGTATTTTGAGGGCCTCAAGCAGAACGTGAGAAATCCCAAGCTCTAGACCAAGGCCTTGCAGTACCACTAGATGCAAGTGAGTACGTGTAGTCCAGGCAACAAGACTTTAAAAGCTGAAACACCCCTGGCCAAGAAAAAGCAGCACGGATTGATTTTGCCACAGGAAATGCATGGTTGGGTTTTTCCTGAGTTCTCGTTTAGGCATTTCCAAGCAGTGAATCTGGCTTTTAAACATCTCCCCACCACTTTCATTAAGGATAAAAAAATAATATTTACAGCTATTTTACATCTGCCCACAGAAGCTACTTTTGCCCACAGAAGCAGAAAACTATTTCTTAAAAATATTATGTAAAGTGAGACTCTTTAAAAAGATACCACAAAACCATACACGATCAATGCTTTTCAGAAGATGATTAACTGACCTGTATTTGGAAAGCTTTTAGTGCTCTTTCTTGGAAAGAAGATTCTCAGACACATACAGTAGGTTTTAATATAGAGACTTCTTCCAGTACTGTGCAAAGCTATCACAAAAGTCACTGATATTTGATTAAATTTGGTCCATGATTAAGCCTAGTCCTGCTCTAGGGAGATCATGTAAGTTAATAGTGTTATCAATTGAGCGTTGAGACTTCCGAATTACGTTCACCAAATGCCTTAAATCCCAGGATTAAGGGGTAATGGTTAAATGTGCCTTAAGATGGCTTTGTGTTCCCTCTGCAAAGGAGGCATTTTTGCAAGGCTTCTTTAAAGCCCCAAACTGGATGGAATAGGCTTGGATGTGGTTCCTAACTTTGGCACAGGCTTCCTATGGGACAATAGCTCTGGCTGCCTTAGATTCATAATAAAAATGGGGAGCTCCAATTTGTGTGGGGATAAACGTCATTATTACTTCTTCTGAACATATTTATTGAGGAAAACATTTTATCTTTGATGATACTTACAAAGCATGTGTATAAAAAACTAGTGCCTTTTAAGATTTTATGAGTTTTGCTACAATTCACCATTAAGCATAAACTTTAGTGGAGTTACTACAAAGGTTGAAAAGGTTCACACCATTCTTTCTCCACATATAAATCAAGTAAAATGAGACCTTTTACAACATCTAACTGCAATGCTTCACATCAGCCAAATGTCTCTTATCTGTCTCTCTAAACTGTACTAGCAGGACTGTCATTTTCTTGTTTTCCCTCCCTCCAATTTCATTCCTTCAGCTGATTCTAGCATTAAGGCAGTGCAATAATTCAAGAATAGTATTCCTTCTCTGGAGAGCTTAACATCAATTACTAAAGCCTCCCAAGGCTGCCTCCTTATTTGAATGATGAGCTATTTAGTTTTCCAGTAGAAAAAAAAAAGGTGGACTTCAGCAGTATTTTAAACAGAGGGTTTCATGGTGTCAGACATCTCTGGTGCAGCTAAAAACCCAAGAAAAGTTGCAAAGAAGATGCATGATTTTAAGGGGCAATCACCTGCAATTTTCATCAAATCCAAAGAGAACAGTAACTGAGCTTCCAGGAAAGCCAACACATAACTAAAGAAACAAGTTTCATCCAACAAAAACAGATGACACACACAGATGCTGCCACACCAATGAGAAAGGCAATAAAAGGCAGATTCAGTTACAAACGTTTGGGCTGAGCTACCTTTGGGGTAAGGTGACCCTTACAGAGACACTGTGTTTGCACAGAGCCGAAGGCAAGGCTCACTCAGCAACACCCTCGTCCTCACCCTCTTCACAAGCATCGCTTGAGTCCCACACCTCAATTCACACGGACACACACACATTCTTCTCACCTTGGCCAGCAGCAAGCTTACAAGTTGCCCTTGGTGGAAGACGACGACACTAACACACTCCATTGAAAGCACCAAAGATTCATTACATGGGATTGCACGAGATGAAGCACTTCTTCCAAGCGGAGAGGTAACAAGCTGCCTACAAGACTTACCTCGGAACTTTTTGGGTGGGTTGTTAAGATCACCTGCTTCTGGCTGTACAACACACCGATCATCCACAAGGCTGCAAAGAAACCAGCAGTTGAAGTGAGGTTCTTTTCCCATGCAAGTGCTTACATCCTTGCTATCAAAAACCAAAGGAGTTTACTGCAGTGTTTTATCCAATTGGCCACTTCAGCAGAAGACATTCCTCAGACGCCAACTTATGCCAAACCTTTCTAAAAAGCATGCAGCTAATTTTACTGCTGCCCAGAGCTACGCTCCTGGGTAGGTGGGACAATAAATAAGTCACTGCTCCCATTTACTGCATCATCTTTATGTCCCCCTTCTGGAAGTGCAGGCAGAACAGCCCATATTCTAGTTACGTGAGAGACAGCCTCAGAACAAGTGTTGCCTCTTGGACAGATTTGAATTGCATTGCAATTGTGTTTACACTAAGGAGTAGAAAACAGGAAAATGTGACAACGAGGCAATTGTCACTGCAAACTGGACACTACCCCTGTGACCTCTCAAGTATCAAAAAAAGGGCAGAAGCCTCGACTGCCACAACAGAAATCTACTCCCAAGAGAAAGGAAGGCACAAATACATCCCCCCTTCCTTACCAGTCACCAAGGGAAGTCGAGGGATCCTAAACTCCTCCTGCTTTACCAGGAAGAAGTGAATCATACAGCCGAAAACAAGCCATTCCAATAGGGAATCATGAAAATTCCACATCATGGAAATATAACTATAATCAAATGTTTTGCAGTTTCCGATTTGATCCTATATTACTCAACTTGGCACCTTTAAACTAATCTGTCAAAGAGGCCTTCTACAAAGAAGTAGAAAATAAAACTCCAAGATCTTAAAGAACTGAGATGTTCATTCTCATGCAGATTCAGCTTGAGAAAGAGATTGAAACCTAGAATATGAGAGTTGTTCCTTGCAGAGGCTGGTTACATGCAGGGAGCATCTTGAGACAACATTTATGGACAATCACGAAGTGCATAAAAGTGATCCAGAAAGAATAAGTGGACCCAACAGTTCTATGCTTCTAAAATTTGCATACGCAAACATATAAATTGCTTTTTCCCCATGGATTTTCCCCCTATTCACTATATATATATTTGTGCTCCAACAAGAACATTAATATTTGAGCTGAATGAAACACCTCTTTCCAGTGAGCAAAGGCCAAAAAAAATAGTTAAAAGTCAGGTTACTCTGATAATCCCCCAGAGTTAATCTCAGTGCAATATATTCCTCTCATACTGAGATTTAAGTGGAAGACAAACTTCTGAAGTTACTACAAAAGTAATTTTATGGGGTGTGAAACACAAAAGAGGATATATTCTACACCAGTAATCATAGCGATTACTGAGCACTGAGTTTGGAACACTGCAAGAGCAAAGTCCCAATTAAGCAAAAGTCAGGTCATCAGAATATTGAACAGGTAACTCTCTTTAAAGAGTTACTTGGCTAGGACCACATTAGAATGTACAGTGGCCTCTGCTTCTCTACGTTCATTAACCATATGAACAAGCCATTACACACAGTTATGACATAAGACTGTCAAAACTCCACATGGTAGAGAATACAGTTACACCAAATCTTTCCTTTGCTTCTTTCATTTTCTCCAGGACAAAAACTAAATCAAATATGGAACAAAATTAATTTGATTATGAAGGCTTAAGATGATAATGCTTTTCATCTTTCATCTAGCAATTGGGACTTCCGGCTTAAATCAGGCTCAAAATGTGTGTCCATTACATAATTAATTTAGCTTAAAATAGTACTGACCAAATCAAAGAAAATACTTGTAACACTGAAGGATATTTAGACCTACCATCAGAACATCTGATAAAGCCTGAAAGAGTATACACCTAAAATATGTATGTTAAAAAATATATGTACTGGATGGCCTACAATGTCTGAAAGGACTACCCATGGTGAAAAATATCTGCTCAGCAATGCCATCAAAAGCCACAGCCACTGCATCATGGTCATCATGCACTGTATGGGATTAAACATAACATAACTTTCTACGTATTCTGGAATTATTTACTGCCAAACTTGCTTCAATACTTGGAAGAAAAAAATAGCCAAATATTTATTGTTCAATCGTTTTGCCAGTTTTCAGCAGATAGTATTTGGCCAGTCACACAGCTGATCGAGTACTGCAGAGTGCACATGTCATATTTGACGGGTACCTGAGAAATCTGTCAAATACATTCGCCAAATACTATTCATCCAACCCTACTTACTACATCCCTTGCTTTTATCATACCTTCTTTCCCTTCTGGCAGCATCCCATATTTTCTTCTCTTTCCTATAATAGATCATGGTGCATCTTCAGTGTCTGCTTCCTCCTCTGCCCCCTTATTTTCCAGAATCCTAATAGCTAGAGGACTAAACCTACAAGTTAGTTTGGAGTCACTCAAAGGAGTTTCCAGCCCCCAGTTTCCTGATGAGAGACTTACCAGGATGCTGTCTTTGTACCCTGCTTGGGAGCTCCATTTATCAGATGCATCTTGACTGTAGGCATCAAAAAAACGCCCGTGCTGTCACTGTGCCCACCCTGAGGCCCTTATGGCTACTGGAATCTCTAATTTCTCACTGTTTCAGTGTTCACTAAAAGAAGGTGACAGATGTGCCCTTCTAGCCTCTCATCCAGTCCCTGGTAAGGTCTGACAAAGCAGGACGCAGCTCTACTGCCAGCTTCTGATGCTCTGATAGAGTTCTAAATGGCAGTTGAGCAAAATCAAATGCACCTCAGGACTTGTTGAAGCTTTGGCTCTACTGCAGGTCAATTGCATGGCTTTTTTCTGCAAAATATTCCTTGCCCTAGGGAAATTACTACTTTTCTGTTTAATGAGGTGGTATCTACTCCTCCCTGGTTGGAGGCACTTGCTGCTGCAGTACCTAGGGGCTCCCAGGAGAAAGTGCAAAGGAGGTCTATGAGGAAGAGCAACAGGAGACAGGAGTAGGCAAGGCACAGCTCCCACTGCAGTTCTGAGGGGTGCTGACCATTGGCAAAGCCCAACGCTCGAGACTTGTTCTCCTTTGACGGAGGGATTGCAATTTTGTCTGCATGAGAAGCCTCTAATACTGTAAGAAAGGACAAAACCAGTCATAGTGGGAAGTCAGTGCTGTATAAACAGTTTGGCTCAGGGCTTTCCTTTATTTACTTTTTCTTCCCTATTTTATCATCTACTTACATGGCCTATGCTACATTCTTTCTCCAGTCAGCAGATTGCACTTGGGGCCTATTCATTCCTGACTGAGGAGAGAGGAAGAGGGAATAGGGAGGGACAGGACGGGACACACAAATGAACATTGGACAGACAACATGAAAAATCATTTTCTTGCATTAATTCCCTCTATCCATTGCTTAATCTTGGAGAGTTCTTCCTCCCCACCACACACATTAAAACTGAATGATAACCATTAATATCCTCTCCAGCTTCCCTACATTTAAATTTCCATCTGCTATATTAACTTCATGCCATTTTTAAAATTAGGGCCAAGTCTGTACAGAAGCCTGTCCTGCTTTGCCCAGTGTTTCTTAGGAGTCAGGCTCAGGACAGCTAGTTGATCTCTGTCAGTCCTTCATATGCATGTTCCTAGTACAAGAGAACAGCTGTTCTTACCCCAAAGTGCTAATAAATCCATTTGTTGAGCCCTCTGCATAGAGAGAACAAATATCTCCAATATGAAGGAAGCTCGACATCTTGTCAGTCATCTCCGGCTTACCGCCCCTGGAAGAAGGAAAAGGAACATTACTATTTGCTAGGCAGAACCAGCTCCTGACACAAGCTACTGGAAGTTACAGTAATAGGACCCTTCACTTTCGTTTGCTTTTGTTTATTTGAAAATCTGCATTATTCCTTGCAGTGAAATTTCAGGTATCACTGAACACGTAGCACATCAAAATACTTGCTTAGAAAAATAAACCAGGCAAAGCCCACAAGCCACTGGCAGCCCACTCAGTGCGGGATTGTTTTAGCAGGAGCTGCATCTGCCCTGTCCGTGCTCAGGGACATCTCCATAGAGGCATGCTGGCCCCATGCACCCTGTGGAGATGGGAAAAGGTGAGGAAGGAAGAAGGGCTCCCTCAAGTCCACTCACTGCACAGTGCCCAAATCCCTGGGCGCCCTCCTGCCTCAGCCAGCGCTCTGAGGAGCGAGCGGGAGGGCTGAGCACACGGAGGTGCCTGGAGCTCCGGAGCGCCTTACCGATGCTGCCAGGCCGGGCTGGAGGGCTGGCCCGATCCATGACACCCTCAGGCAGCCGGTCCATGACAGGTACCTCACCCTCGGGGAGTCGCCTGCTGCCAGCAGCGGCTTTAACAGCACTGTGCAGCAGCAGATTGTGCATGGAAAAATGTAGATTTTTTTTTTCCAAAGTTAAATACCTTAAAGAATATATCAGTAAGCCAGATCCCTGTGAAACTAGGAATATTTCAAGCCTGTTTCCAAAAAGGTGGCCCAGATGCAACATCAAGGAAAGAGCCACTCAGTGTGGTCAACTTGCACAGTATAGAGAACTATCATTACTCTCTTAAGCCCCAAATCCTGAACTGAATGACTCAAAACTTACCCATCATTCAGAAAACAGGGAAAAAAATCAGTTTCCCATCTGTCACAGCAACAAAGATAGAGACAAACATGATCTCTAACAAGAGGGAATTCGACCATCAGCTTTTAATGACCTCTTTTCAAAACAGATTTAGTGGCTCTTTGGAGGTCCCCCCAGCCATGTTTTGGGATCCCTGGGTGAGGTGTGAAACAGCTTCCCCAGCTGCCTGCTGTTCGACCCCAGCGCAACGCGGCCTCGCGAGCTGCTCCAGCCCTCGGGCCCAACACTGCCGGCGCAGAGCCAGTCCCTGCCACTGAGCATGATCTCATTTACCAAAAGCGAGGGATGAAGCTGATTAAGCAATGCTGGGGCTCACCAAGGACGGATCCATGAAAGTTTAAAAGCTAATGCTGATAACAGTGCGGATTGGGTGCAAGCAAAAGACGGGGGCTGCAGGCAGCACTTACCCCCACCCCCAAATGAATAATAAAATTAAAGCCCATTACATCATGCTATTTGTGTTAATCAACACTAAAGTCAAGCAAAGCGAAAGGTGCGGGGCCGAGCCCACCAGCAGGGTGCGAAGGCCCTGGTGGCAGGCCAGCCCGGCACCCGGGCGCTGGGCCGCAGGTTCCTCGGCCGGGGCCGGGTCCCTCGGCCCTGCACGTGTCACACTGCCCCTCCACGGCCTCGCAAAAACAAGGTGGCAGAACAGCACTACCTACCTCAAAGCACACGCCAAAAACACACAAAAATATTCAGAATGACTGAATTAGCATCACTAGAAATACAGCCTGCTTTATTTCCTGACTTTTTAATACGGTACTTTGTGCCGAAGCTTTCAGGTCTTCACAGTTAAACCCAAGACCTAAATTCATGTAGCCCAAAGCAAGAGTACCTGAAGACCAAATGAACAAACTCTTCTGGAGCACACTAGCCATCTGTCTTGCTCTTACATTCAGGGTGATTTAAAAATCTTTTTGAACTTTTGGCCTGTACAGCACTGTAATATGGTTACACACAAAATATTTTTAGCTCAAAACTATTCATTTTTACAGGGGCATATATATAAGGTATCCTCTTCATGGTAAAGGGAGAGAGATGTTTTATTGCACTGTCATTTTGCTTTAGAAGAGACAGATGTTCACCACAGCTGTTCCCAAGAGAACGTGAAGGTCAAAATTATTGACTTCCATTAGAAAAGAGAGGAATTTCTTGGAAAAAAGCTAAAACCCAGACCATTGACTAAAGGCAGGCCTAAGGATGGATAATCAAGTGTCTGCATCATATTATTTTGCATGACAATACAGATTTTTTTTCAAGTTTGCTTTACTGAGAAGGTCCCAGCCACAGTGCAATGCATACCAGGCTATTCCAGCATACAAAAGCACATTTGCAATCTACTGACATCTCCAATAGTAAAATGTGCAGCAATTTCAACTGTAACCATTACCTACCTTCATATATAATGGAAAGGTATCGTTAACCCCCAAACAGTTCAGATTTGAATTTCATTATCTATCTATTCACTAGATTAAAAAAAAAAATCCATGCCAGCTAAAATGCATCATTAGAGCCAAATTCTGCCTCCATTGAGCTCAGTGGCGCCAAGTGCTGCACGGCTGCAGGCAGCACGTGGGAATGGCAGAGCTTGGGCACAAACACTCCGGACAAGGCACCCGGACCCCCCGGTACCCGAGCGGAGGGGTACCTCATCCCGTCCACCTGAGGACCATTACTCTGGTGGAGTCAGGACTTGCACAGGTTGACCTGACTGCAGCAATCATTTTCCACAGCTTTCCTCAGGCATTCACTGTTTAGTGGGTGAATACTCTTCCCACGCCAGCCCCCATACTCTTTTTTTGGGCATTATTTAATCTGCAGTGAAGCACTACATACTCAGATGGCCCTTGCTCTAATGAAATACAGAGCCAAGTCCAAGGAGGACCAGCCCCTAAGTAAAATACTTAGTTGTTTGGGTCACTGTAAGGCTTGCCCATACTTAAAACCAATGCAACTGTGTCTGTCTACATATATTATGTTCTTTTATAACTGCATACCAAAAGCCAATCCGTTTGACATTTATCTCTAAACATGCTGTTTGTGAGGTTGGACAGTGCTCAGGAACATGCTGAACTGGCAGATGGAGTGAGGGAACTCAATGACCCAGCAAGCCTCCTTCTATCTGCTAATTTAGGTTACTTCAAAGCTGTTTTGGTATCATCTTCAACAAGGGGCTTCAGACATCTAACAAAGTCAGTACAGTGATTAATCAATTATTTGCACTAAACGATCAGCTACTGCAAGCTATTTTATACTCCATCTAGGACACTTGAGAAAAAAATTCCCAAGGTTTTTCAAGATCAATGTCTCCTGGTGCCCAGTTTGAAAACCCTTTCAATAGGTCACTTCTGATTTCTGAAGACACTTAGCATCTCACTCCGAGAACTGTAAGGCTGAGATACAAAGAAGAACAACCAAACTTGTCAGTTTTAGAACTTTTACCCCAAGTTGACAGCACAGGTGGGTCGCACAGACTTCAGAGGAGAGGCTCCCTCCTGAAAATACGGCTCTGGAGCCACCACACATCCCTCGTGAGGAAGGATGCACGTCCCTGTCCCCAGCCACGGCTGGGGAAGATCCAAGACGACAGTGCTGGAAGGAGCTTGGAAGAGGAGGAGGATTCTTACATATGCCATCAATACCTGACTTCTGTGGTGAACAGCTAATAGCTCCACTCAAAGAAATAGCATCAAAATCTGCTCAACAGATAAATATAAGGCAGAACGATCCACATGGACAGCTAGAAATCAAAACTACTGTTAATATCAAACACCTTAATGAGACATCTGCTTTTTGCAGATCTCGGAATAGGAAATGCGACTGATTTGTAAACATCTCACACTAATTCCTTCCACTACTCATTTAGCTCTTGATCATTTTCAGTTAGAAAATTTCCAGTTAGGAAGCGGGTTCAGAGCACCAGGGAGAGTTTGCCTTCCCTGAATACCAAAGCCAAGGCTGCCTTTTGAAGTTCCTGCTTTCCAGGACACACGTAACATGGGTTCTGCAGTCTCCATTCCTCATCTCAAGCAATTTAACACCAGAAGGCTCTTCAAAGAGTCCGCAGTTATTTTGACACTATCACATCTCATGTATTTGCTGTGGAGGGAGATTTTAATACTTTAACCTATAACTGGAAATTCTATTTGTACAATCAACTTGATCAAATAAGTCTTTCTGCTGATGGTTTGATTTCAAGCAACTGGGATGCAAACAGCTTGATCTTTTCAAGGTAGTCCTAGTGATGTTTGTTTTGAGGAAGAAAGCTCCTTGCTGTGCCTTGCAGTTCTGTGATGTACTCCGTTCACCATTAGCATATTTTCACTGTGGTTTATTGCTCAATTAGAGCAACAATTTTGTAGGTATTGTTTCAGAAATTGGGGCAGCGCTTTAGCAGAGACTTTTTCATTGTTTGAATTATTTAGGTAAGGCTAGAATCTCAGATTGTATTGTACCTGAAAATCTACAGATCTATAGATAGAAAAGACCACCGCAAAAGCTTAGTTTTGCTTCTGTTTTTAAAAAGAAAAAAAAAGATTAAATTCTTCACAGTGGAGAGACAAAAAAGCCAACAAGGCACTGCTGTGGCAGAAGTCATTGCCATGCATACGATGAAGCATCCGTAAGTTAACAGCTATCACTAATATTACAGAAATGCTATCAAAAGAGATCAGAGGCAGATAATGCAAAGTATTCAAAGGACTAGGTCCTTAATATTTCTGGTTTAGACCTAACCAGCTGGTATTTCTTAAATGTGCCCAAACACCGACTCTCTTGATTTTGGCAAGAGGCAGGTGCTTAAACACTTTGGTGAGTCTAAACTTTCTAGGCAGATTACCTGATAAAATTGGCTTTCTAGACTTGATCCAAAGCATCTCTCAACTAAGATTTTTGTAACCATTTCAATGCTTTAACAGGACCCTAGCAGTCTGTATCTATTTTAAAGGTGCAACTATCTTTTCAAATCTGTAATGAAAAACTGGTTCCCATCCTTATTTTAAAGGATAGGAGGTTACCTCCCTAAGGGCTAACAAGGAAAGGTGGGATGGGAAATCACAAGAATTTCATTAGAGCAGCCAAAGAAAGGAAGAAGTGCTCCATTTAAAAGATTATCTAGTGAACAACCACTCTCCTGAGGCTGTGGGGGGAAACATGGTCTGTTCCAAAGCTTCTGATTTTGCCTGTCTAGAGAGGGCCCTTTGCACTGATGCACCCAACACAGAAAGGCAACGAGAAGAGTTGGGTGTCAGAGCCAAAACGCAGCTGCTCCCCACAGCCACGATGAGCACCATACACCAAGCGGGATGTCCCAGGCAGTTACTTAGCTCCTTAACTGAGGATGAAGTCAAAAGTTGAGCAAAATGTGAAGCTTCCCAGACTCCAACACTGTTCAGAGCACACGGAAAAGGACAGCAGCCTGGGGAGTCCTTCCCCACCAGCCCAACGTTGGGTTTCTCTCCCTGTTCACCCTCACACGCTATCAGCGGGAAGGAGCTCAAGAACCATGGTAGGTACCGACAGGGTTATATGCTGCTAATCTCATGCCCAGATGTTACATTTTGGAGATTATACATTAAAAAAAAAAGATATCAACATGTTTATCTACCACATGATCTTGTTTTCCACTTAAGGCAACTTTCATGGCCAACAGCCTCATATCTGCAGACAAATCGTCATTTGATGAATACAGATTAAAGAGGCAAAATACTTTCTCAGAGAAAGTATTTTTCCCGTTAATACTTAAAAGGCAGCATTTTTTCCTCCAGTTTAGTCTAAATAGACAAGATGGCGAGTGCAAAAAGGGGCAAGGAGGATGCAGCACAGTGCTCCCATTTCTCAAGGTCATTAAGTAGGTTAGACTTGGAGCCTGGATTAGGATCCAGGTCTCCTGCATCCCTATGCACCAGCCCACAGGGCCCCTCCTTTCCAAGCAGGAAGCTCATCCCAGCTGCAGACACCTCTGAAGGAGTCTGTGTTTCCACCTCACCTTGATGGACCTTCGAGAAGCACTCATACAGCAAGATGGTGCTTCACTTGACTTCTGCTGCTTGACATGCCACAGAAGCTACTTTTTCTCATAGTCACCCTACAAATGATGAAGTTTTTCAGAAGTGACTAATCACAGGTGCAATCAAAGTCAGGTAAAGAAAACATAAAAGCAACTTATTTTGCAAACTTAAACCTGAATAAATAAATAAATATTCAATACAGATAAGACAACATCTGCAACATCCTTTTCTCCATAGATGGGATGCCTGCATTTCTTGATTTGTTCAGGGCAACCCGAGAGGATAACAGCCTTGCTGTAGCTGCAGAGAGTCAGGGCTGAAAAGGAAAGCACCCATAATCGCACTAAGCAGCAATTATACGGGCAGCCATATCTCATACAGCAGCCATTTCACTGATACAAGAAATGCAATTAACAGATATTTGAAAAAAGCTGAGAAGAAAAATTAGGGGCACGCTCCCAAGGGAAAAAAGGGAGCTATTTCTTAATGTTTTACACTAAGTATTACCTGACAGCAAGTTTTTAATTCCATTAAAAGTATGAAGCTGATACTTACTGAAGTTGCTACTGCATCTAACCCTGAAGGGAGAAAGCAGCTTAGACGTCAGCCTCTGGATAAGGCCCTACAAGCACACAGTGTTTTCCAGAATATTTCTATTAGAAGGAGAAAGCAGGAACATGCCAAAAGAACCAAGGCAGCCAATATCATGGGGAAAGAGAGCAAGCTTGGTTTATAATATCTACTGGAGCCTGGCCAAAGAAGAGAAGTGGCCAAAGAAGAAGAATGTACAGAATGGTTCCAATTTCATTTTGAATGGCCATATATCCACTGAGGCTTTGCTACAGAATGGGCCATCTCCTGCAGCGCCTTTCACCAAGGGTGAGCCCCCTGCTAGCTCACAAGACACAAGCTCTTTGGCAAATGCAGTTTTCCCTAAATTTATCAAAGCATTTTCCTTTTGTCAGTCTCACTAACCCTCCTGGACCTCCTACTTCTGTTCATCTCCCTCTGACCCTGCATGCTCAGTACTCTCATCCTTCTCATGTCCTCTGCTCCCCATTGCCTTTCTTGCCAATACTTCACCTTGGCGGCGGTTCTTGGGGCTCCATGTCAGCACTTGAGCCTTGACTCTCCTGAATGGTTGCTGGTAGCTTCGGGTCCCTGACAGCAGTGAAGCGATGGCTTGCTCCTACCAGCAGGTCTCTTCTGTTGAAAGATGGCTTGCAAGTCTTCTGTAGTCTTGCAGGTACAGCAGCCCGACCAGAGCAAGCTCACTGGTCTCCCGTCCTATATACCCCAGTAGGCACCAAGCTCTGCAGTGAAAACCCTAAAAGCCTGTGAGAGGCAACCAAGGAGGAGGAGCCACTGCCACCACATGATGAACACGTGTGTGGAACCACTGGTGGCCAGGGACCTACTTTCAGCCCTACTGATCTAAAAGAGAGAAAAAAAAAGCTCAATGAGTTGAGCTCCTTTACAGAAGGAGGCTCCACGTTCACTGGTACATCTTGGTCCTCAAAAACGATTTTCTAGATTTCTTCCAAAGCAGTCATTCTTCCAAAGCAAATGTTCTCAATACTGCACCAACTTAGCTCATAAAGAGCATTAGCAGCTGAATCTGCTTAGCCCTTACACATGTAGGGGTGATCGAGGATTGAGTTATTTTAATCATAAGATGTTCAAGTTTTCAATTAACTCTTTAGATCAAGGATCATTCGACAGCTTTGAAAGGGTCAAGCATCTGCCTTCACGTCCACGCATCGCTTATTGGGAAGGGGCGGATGGAACAGAAGAACTTGTCAGGTGCCATCAGCACTTGTTTTTTCTCAGATCTTCTTGACAGATTCCTGAATTTTTGAAGAATGAGATAGGATACACTACAGTATAATCTTTCTTACAAAATTTTTGTACTAAACTGCTACTAAAGAATTTCTAGAACAAAAGAAAAAGATATAGCAAAAAGCTACAGCATTCTGGCACTGGACATTTCTTGGCCTACTATGGTCAGACACATTTCTGGCTCCAGACATCTTGCACAAGACGAAGGGAGGACTGTTTGTGCATACATTCTTCCATCTGGATTCGGCATTCAGACTTCTTTCCCTATAGCTCAGTATCAGGTTACTCCAAAAGCAGAAATAGCAGGTAATGTCCTAATGCAGAAAGCTGCTTCATTTGGCCCTCAGTCTTCTCAGAGCTATTTACTGTCCTGATACTCTCTTCAGGAGCATGATCAATGAGGTATAAACACTAAGCTTTCTGCAATCTTCCTTGTATTAGCATTTGGCATAGGAGAATGTAGCTCTATCTCTGCAAGCTGTAAATCAGCAAAATAACCTACAGTTCAAAGCACATTACTAAGACATTTTTTCTTTCCAGAGCAGCTGACGTGCCCAGATCTGAACTGACAATCTGAACTGACACTTTATTCTCAGCAGCGTGAGGAAAGAAAAATAAGTTCTGATGTAAGTTTTGATAGGCTTTACCGAAACCACAGCTATGAAAATGAAACTTCTGAGTCTGGAATCCAGGGCTGAATTTTGCAGCTTTCCTCCAGTTTGGAATTACAGTTCCTGCAGGTTTCATTTTACCTCATTTCCCCCCTCCCCCTCGGGAATTGAGTTTGTTTAAACATAATGGTATAGAAGACGAGGAATCGAAATTTCTCACCAGGTACAGGAGGGGCAGTAACAAGTCACTTCCTCTTGCTGCCAGGCTAATGAGCAGCTGCAGTGCCCGAGAGGACAGATCCCGCACCAGGCTCGCTCACAGCTCCCGGCCGACGCCGAGCGCCAGGCACTAATGGAGCTTCCCTAGTGCCCACTGGGAACGGAAAAAAGGATGGAATCTCAGGCCAGATCCAGGCTCACCTTGCCTGGCATCCTGCATCCTACAGCAGCCAGTAGGAGATGCAAGACAGAAGAGCACAGGAATCAGCATTAGAAGCCAAGGGAAGGGTCCCACTGCAATTTTCCTTGATAAAATACCCACTTTAAATAACAATGGAGAGGTAGACAGGGTCTGCCTTAGCAGTCCACGTGCCATCCACTGACTTTTCAGGCCTTCTGTTTCATGACCCCCAACAAACCAAGGTCCACAAGTACCTATGCTACAGCACAGGCTGCTACACAAAACTGCTCAGGGGTTTTTAACCCATCTTCTGTATTGTTACCCCCAAAAAGGCAGAAAAGCGCTTGCTGAAGCAGTAGCAAGGAGTGAACGCGCTACGCCAGCAGCAGAGCAGTGGGTAAGAACGTTCTGCAAGACAGATTTTGGGGAAGCAGATGAGTGGCACAGTGCCACAGGTGGCAGAAAGGCTGCTTTTATTTACGTAACGTCCCCCAGCACCATTTCCCACGGCCCATAGGAGCCCCCCGGTCTCCGTGAGCCGCTCGGCTGCGGCCACCCTCCCTGCTGCTCTCCCACAGCGCGGCGAGCGGCTCGTCTAGCAGATACTACAGAACCACCACCCTCCTTCCACCCACAGCATCCCCAGGCTCCTTCTGCTTTAAAGCACAATCCTACTACAAGCACCCCGTATTTGGGGGACAATGACGAATCAAAGACTCCCGGGACGCTTTGCAACTTGCCACATGGAACATTCCTGCGGAGCTCACACGGGATAGCCTTGTTGGGAATGGCATCGTTGGCTGAACGGCCAGAAGGGGCAATAGCTGCTCCTTCCAAGGAGCAGCACGGGGGAACCCGGAGCCTGGTGCTGCTTCACAGCACCAAGGAAGCGGCGTCACCTCTGCACTGACCCTCCCGGCAGCCCAGCACTCCATGGTGGCCTTGGGGGTCTCCTCCAGGGCACGCAGCACCACCAGGGACAAGCGCTCCCGCCTCTGCTCTCGCTCCAGGGCGGTCCCTTCCCACCACTCCCGAGGCAATCCCACCTTCCGTGCTGCCATGCTCCAACACCCATGGAAACTGGGCTGAAACCGGGCTCCACGGGCGGGTCGGGAGCAGCGCCGCCCCCCTGCCCGCAGGGGCTGCTCTCAACCACGGCCGCTCCTGCTGCCCAGAGCTTCACCTCCCTCACCTGCGCCCCATCCCTCCCCTTTCTCACCCATCCCACCCAAACACAGGTGTCTTGAGGGGACCGGAGAGGATGAGACAACACAGTGCCGCCAACACAAGCCCATCCTACCCCTTGTTTACAAGCAGAGACCATAACCCTCATTATTTCCACCTCGCTCCTCTCCATCCATCAGCCCCCAAGTACTTCCTCCACTCAGCTGATCGTGCCTCGACTTGTAGCTCCAGCACCTGCTGCTGGAGACACAAAGTTCTCACTTCTTCAGGGTCACTCCCTGGGGCCTCTTCACCCTCCAACGCTACTGACAGCCAGCTAACCTTAGAAAAATAAGTTTCTCCCAGTTAAGCTCCGCTCCGGGATTGCAAAGGCACACGCGAGTCGCTTCTGCTGGCTACTTCCTCTGCAAAAGGGGAACCTGGCTCGCCGGCTGTGTCAGGAGGTAACCAACACGCAACAAGCCTCAGGTGAGGGGCCCCTCACCCAAGCACCTCAGTGCACGGAGAGGAGTTTTGAGAGAAAAGAGCCCGTTATTGACAGGCACACGCTTGCTCGAGGGCACACGAGAGGTGATGGGCTCCGGGAGCGCCGGGGTGCCCGTGTTCGGCGCTGCCGCGGGTGCAACGCGGGGGCTGCGGGGGCCGGGGGCTCCCGGGGCGCTCCCCGGGCGGCGCCGCTCGGGCACCGGGCTCAGCCTGCAGCCCGGGCGCTCGCACCGCGAGAGCGGGGCATTCACCCGGCGCGGAAACGGGCAGCAGGGCCAGCGCCCGCTCGCAGCCCGCTGATGCGGCCGCGCAGGGCAAGGACCGGCCCCGGCCCCGCGGCGCTGCCGCCCGCGCCGAGGAGCCCTCCGAGCTTTGCACCACGCTCGGAAGCACGTTCGGGCCACGGGGATTTGGAAGTACCGGGCAAAGAGCCGAGAGCAGGAAAAGCAACTGGGAGGCAAACAACACCGTGCAGGCTTAAGAGACAGAAACGCGCAGCCAAAGGACTAAAAACAGAGGGGTCTCCATCAAGAGCAGGGCAGGACCCCCCTCCCCGCCGCCTGCCAGGGGCCAGCAGGGCGCGCGGCGCCGCTGCCGGCCGCAGGGCCGGGGGGACGCGGCTGCCTCCCCCCGCCGCCCGCAGCCCGGCTGCCGTGGCCAGGAAACGGCCAAATACTGTGCGGGGCGGGCGGGCTGTGCGGGCCTCGCCACCGAGCGCGGGGCCCCGGCGCGCGCCGCGGCTCTACCTGGTGCCGGCGCGGAGGGAGGGAGGGAGGGATGGAGGAAGGCGGGGGGCTACGGGCGCCCCCGCGGCCCCATGGCGGCGGCGCGTCCCGCTGCGCTGCAGGCTGCGCGCGCTCCGCTCAGCACCGCGGCCACATGGTGACTGCGCCGGCCGCCCGCCGCGCGCGCCTCTTGTAGCCCGCGGGGCACGCCGGAACAGCGAGT